ATTGAACGCCAACCAATGCACTTAACTTTGCCTCTGATCTACCATTGGTTGATGCATATTTTTTTTTGCGAAAGAGAGTCGTGCTCAAGTGTTCAACCAAATTGAGGCCCACAACATTTCCAAGCGTCCCTTCACACAAACGTCGAACAACTTGAACGTACAGAAGTGCAACAACTAGAAATGGTTAATATTTTTCATGCTCGCTGCTGCACCAATTATTAAATTGAAGTTCAGGTGATGGTCAGCACGCGAGATAAATGTTGTTGTTGTTGTTGTTGCTTCATCTATTTGATTAAACGTCAAAACGATATTTTCACAATCGATGGTAATGTATTTACTTAAAATCCTTGTGATAACGATATTGCATTTTATTTTGCAACACAGTCATTCACACTAATCAGCATTCGAACCACAAATAAAAACATTGGTTCACATGATTATAGCTTATAATCGATTACTTTATATTATTATTATTATTTTAATAAAAAAAACGAATCAAAATTGCATTGGAAAGCTTCTTTTTGAAAAAAAAAAAATCAAAGTTAATTAACAGAAAAAAGCGAACTGTAGTTAACGGTATCAATACAATTGAATTTTTTCATTTGCGAAATCCATTTGCAGGAAATTGGTCTTATTCAATCAGGGCTCCTTGTAAATAAATGCATGAACCTTGAAACAAAATGAATTGAAATCAATATAATGTTGATTTATTAAAACATTCGGAAATCAAAGTGCACAGAACAATCAGTTTGGGCCAGCGAAAGTTTCACTCCATTATATTTTTGTTTACAAAAGTGCGTGCAAAGTGGAAATGATAATCTCGGTCCGATAAAATTGGCGAACATCGAGATGATTACTTCCAATAAAACAAAAATCGTCGGATACGATTGTTTATTTTAATTATATAAAATTTTATCTGATGGAATTCGGCCGAAAGGCGTACATAAACTGTGAAAATGGGAGAAAATACACGACTTTTTCCCTCGTTGCGCGTGCATCATCGTCGAAGATACTAATGCATAAATTTCCGCTCATCATTTTTTTTATGATTTGGGGCTATGCGTAAGTGTGTGTATGCTTTTTATCGATTGTTGGACTGATTGAAGAGTAAGAGTAATTGGACGGCATGTCGATTTGCGAATGCTTGATTTGTTTTCAAGGAAACACATAAAAAATACGGTTTTTTCCATCCAAATGATATTTAACCACTAATTTGACGTGTGTATGTATATATTAAAACACATTGCATGCGAAAAATTAAAAAAAAAAATACACACACCCGAATTCCCAAATAAAATAATACTATGTTGTTGTATGTATGCGCATAAATTTTGGCTGTACGGATGTACCAATTAAGAATAATAAAATTACCGCCGAACTAAAATGAAGAATCAGTAATACAATAAAAAAAACCAGAATGCATTACAAAATCGCATGCGATCGGCTTAACTTATTCCCTCTTTTTTGGTATTGCAAATAGACTTGTGCCCATTGAATACGCATATAAATCATCATTCGTCATCATCAATGTACAGAATTATGTATGCGTTCACTCAACAATATGAAGCCCTGATGCAACCATGCGCATTAAATCCAATCAATTTCGATAAAGTGCAATTGACCCCGAAACCAACAAAAATCACATTTAATGTTCGCATATTATCAATAAAACACATATCTACAATCAATGCTGGGCCGGTTGGCAATTAAAACGCTCAATTATTGTTAAAATCATAAATGTGTTTCGTAAAAGTCTGTTTGTAAATTCGTTTCATTGGTCACTGGGAATGAAAACTCGGTTACCCACACAAAGAAAACAGCTCTTGATCGACATTGTTTTTAATTGGCCGTACAGGCTACAGAGAGACTTGTAAAAAAAATCGAATCACAATGATCGAAAAAAGAGACCACGGTAAACACAAACAAAAAAACACTTCTGTTTATTTTGGATGGTCTCTTTGAACCATTGCTTCTGTCACTTCCCCCACACACATACAATGACCACTTTCATGCCATGTATTTTGATCACGTTTTTGTTGCCATCGGTTACACGGTTTTTTCTCTATCTCTCAGTCGTTGCAGCAATGAAACGGACATTGATTTGGGTGCGAGGACTTTTTTGGCAAATTTGTGGCTCTCAACGATTCTTTTATGAGGCCAAACAAACGACCCGAATATATTTATATATATTACTCATTTTCTTGCATCACAGGGGTACTCAGTCATAAAAAACACACAAACTATACCGTACCGAATGGCATGGATTTATGTTGTATTATGTAAGGTAATCAGCGTTATTTTAAGTGTGTTTTGTACTTCTGCAAAAACACCAACAACATCAAATGTATGTTTGAATAATATAAAGCGTTGTCAAAACAAGCCAATAAAACAGTACGAAACATATGTATTGCAATCGATCGATCGATTGAACGAAATTTCAATCGTAAAAAAAAGCCACATGATGCGAAAAAATAAAATCATGTGCACAAAACAAACTTAAAAATCGCGCTAATCTTTATATCAGAATCACCAAATAACATATTACTTTCAATGGGATCGGATATAAAATCAATATTTCGTAAAATAACACGGTTTTTATTGGTTTCGTTGGCTGCATTTTTGGACATCAAGTGTTTTTTTTTTGGTGATGCAATGATCTCACTATAAAATCGTTTACACGCAAAATTCGAACTGAAATCGGCTCAATTTTTGTTTTCATTTTATTACTATGATTTTACATTGCTGGTGAATTTCATTACAGGGTGATCACATATGAAAGCAAAATTCGAATTTTCTTTTTGTTAAAAATTCATTTGTTGATGTTTCGGATGGCACACACTGTGATCGATTATTATACACAGACGACTACGTTACGCACGAAAATCGATTGATGTGCGAATGCATTTGCATGTAAAATAATACGGTTCAGATTTTAAAAGCAATAATAATATATTTACACTTGGTGTATATCATCGATCGATTGTGGCATACCCAACGAACAAATATGTAACGTTTTTAGGACATTTTAACGTTAAAAAATGTAACGCTTTAACCCATTTTTGTGGCAATTTTCGTGTCAAATGGAAGGTAGAATATAGGCATAATGTGAACCACTTTTTCGGCTTTTTCGTGTTGCGATACACAACAACATCTTCTGTGTGTTTCGATTGTTTCTCTTTTTGTTATTATATTCTAAGAAACTGTAGCGGCAATACAATGTAAACAAATGTAAATAACATAAACTCGTTGAGTTCATAATATCGTATTCATACGATTGATTTTAAGCAAATGAAATTTGAAAAACAAACCGGAAAAAAAAGAGGATGAAAATACAAATATTACTCTCTTCTCTCTGTGTGTGTTTCGATTGTGCATGAATAAAAAAAAACATTGCGTAGGAATTTCAAGTGACTGTGAAATACATTTATAAATGTACCTTTTTTTAGATTTGTTTGATTTGATTTTAGTTTCAGAAACATTTTTTTATTTTTTTTATTTTTTTTATTTCATAATTCAAATTCGAATTTCGAATTCGAAACATGTTTGAATGTGTACGACATTTGACAGTTGGTAGCTGTGTGTATTGGTGTGTATCATATCGAAGCCGATTTTTCTGATTACATTCAAAATGTGCTTCGTAAACATTGCATCGTATCAATTAATTTCTTTGAACTAAATAGGGATTTTTTCGCATCAAAATATTTTGAAGTTATTGTTAAGAATAAGGTAAGTAATTATGGTTAAGTTGCCATTGTGTTGAAAAAAAAAAACAAAATTCAGTGATTAATAAATGGAATTCTTGTACATGAGATTCATTTTTTGTTTATCGTCATTTTAGCAACGGTTTGGTGTGTTTGGAACGTAACTGTAGAAGTCACTCGATGTCAAATGGAAAGATTCACAGTCCGTTTTGTGACAGTCTTTGTTTTCATTTCAAAATAAAAAAAAACATTTTCATCGTTTTAATCAGGACACAGCGTTATATAGTATAAGAAGTTATTCATTTGAATTGTGATATGAGTGTGTTCTCATTTTTTGTTTGTAACAAATTGTGCTTTGCTTGTAAAAGGAATTCTTGAGAATTATGTGTGAGTGTTTATATTAGAGTATGAAACATTTTGTTTGTCGTCATTTTTGGCTAACATTTGTTCCAATGATTTTGTTTGTTCGATGTTAAACGGATAAATTCACTGTTGGTTTTGAGATTGTCTCTGTTGTTATTTCAAAATAAGAAAGCATTCATAAAATTGACGGTGAATATTCCAACAAAATTTTCATCTGCGGAATATTGGAAAACATTTCATCATTTGAATCAGAATACAGAGTGACATCGTTGAGGTAAGAAGTGATTAATTTGAATTGTGATATAAGTGATTGTCATTTAAATTGTGATCTCATTTTATTCGTAATCTATGCTTTTTTTGTTGCATTTTTTTTCTAAATTTGTGTCTATTTTTTATTTTCGAATAATTTGATCAGTTTTTTGAGAATGAACAGAAAAAGACATGGATGACGACGAGCTCGATGATAATCAACCAGAAGAAAGCAAATACGTTGTAATAAAATGTGGACTTCAAACAATCCTGCGACAACAACATGAACGGATTGAAAGAGTTGGAGAAGTTGTGACCAAAATGCTATTCGAGCGCAGTGTTCAAATGACAGAAGTGGCAGCATTGGCATCACTTTCTATTCTTTTTATTTTGAATGAAGCACTTGATAATGACGATCGTGCATTTTTTTTGAAACCACTTCCAAGCCTGTTCATTGCCGATTGTTTCAGAGCGGTATTAAACCAACACGTTAACAATATCAATAGTCAATATCGGATATTGCCCGAGTTTCGTTTCATGGTAGAAAGAAACAGTGAAGAACAGTTCCGATGGCCAGATGATGAAAAGTTGGGAAATGGTTTGAGATATTTTTATAAACAATATATCACAAACATTCAAACCAATACCAACACATGGTGTGAAAAACGACTTGAGAATTTTTTTCGAATGCGTTGTTGGTATCGCAATCGATTCCACAATGGCTCAAGATTTGATAACATCGACATCAGAAATGCCAAAGAGTTTTCATATCGATTTAAGAATTTAACAAATGGTAATAATGTGGATCCACAACGCGTTGAAAAATTCAATATTTTAATGAGAGATTTGACTGAAATTGGATGGTCGGGAACAGTGAGTATGAAATTTTTCGCAAAATATCGTTGGTTTGAATCACTGTGGTTGTTCGGTCAAATGCAACGGCAAATAGAAGTGTATCACAGTCATGCCGAACAATGGTATACCATTCATGAAATGTTTCGCAACAATCCGAACTTTCAAGAGCCAACAATCAATCGACCACCAAAAATAAGCAGTTTTGCTCTTATACCATTATGCGACTACCATTTGAAAAACGTGCGATTGGACATTAAGGACTTGTATTATAAAATTGTAAACGAGCTTGATTTGGTGCCTTCTTTTCTCAATACGCGGACCAACCGGATGAATAAGAGAAATTTAAAGTACTACACCCAAACTGATCGATCAGGTCTATGGAATATGATGTTCGATGTCGATAAAATAAATAAATTGGGCAAATCGAAACCATTCCATCATCAGATTTTGACCGATAGTGTTTCAATATCCATAATGTACAAGAAACCACAGCGACAACAACGACCACAGCAACAACAACGACCACAGCAAACAACCCAAGCGAATCGGGGGCCGGAAAAACTCATTGGAAAGAAATACATCATTGGAATCGATCCGAATGAAAAATCGTGGTTAACTGTAGTGCGTCGCAACATTCAAAAAACACCTGATGAGCCGGCTGTTGAGGTAAGATATTTTGAAATGTAATTTGAAATGGTTTTGAATAGAAACTCATAGTTTTTTGTATCATTTTGCATTTTGAAGGAAAACATTATAATACCAAACCAGCGTTTTCATTGGGAAACTCAGCAGAAAAAACGAGACAAAGAAGCGAAAAAGTTGGCTGGATGGTTTGATATCGAAGAGAAGGAACATCTCAAAACATACCCATATCGTCCACCATCACCACGTAATTCAACATGGAAATCATACATTGAATATCGCATTAAAATGTTACGAAAAGGAATGGCAGCTTATGCGACGCGTGAATATGCACGACTGGATTTAGACCATTACATTCGCTCGACCAGAGTAAATGATCAAATCGCCGTGTGTGTGACAAACAACAAACCGTCGTTGGTTCAATTTGGTGCTTGGGCGATGAAACCCGATCGACCGTTTGGAATAAAAAAGCGTAAAAGATGTCCGGGATCGCGTAAGTTTCGTGTGAGCATTAAGAAACTTGGACATTCAGAAGTTGAAATGCAAGATGAATGGGGAACATCACAAACATGCGCGAATTGTCAGGAACGTTTTCCAAGGCACACAAAAGATGATCGATTTAAAGTGTGCTACGATTGTAGAGCGAAAAAGATTGATGGCCTGCCAGATTCAGTCGCTGGACTGCCAGATATCATTGTGTCAACGGTCAACAGACGTGTTTTGAGAAGAAAACGTGCAATTATTAAGCGACAAATTATCGATGGCAATCGTGAGGCTGTGAACGAAAAACTTCGGACTGGGCGTTTAATGTCAAAGGTTAAAGTTACCTACAAAAATTGGCCATTAAATGTTGATGATGATGATGTTGTTCCACAAACAGTTACTTGGCACCGAGATATTGTTGCAGCAAAATGCATTATGCTCAAAGGTATGAATCAATTGGAAACAGAATATTCATTATTTAATGTATTTGCTTTAAATTACATAGGACTTTGCCGGATCTTTGATGTACCATTGCCAGTTTCATTGTTAAGACCGCCGGACCAAAACAACAATGTCAACTAACAAACATCATCAATTAATCATACATTCAAAAAATTACATAAAATAAAATATTTTAACTATTATAGTTAGCGTAGCTAGACATGAACAGACTATATAAAGTCTTGTGGTCTAGTTGTACAATAGTACAACATTGTACGGAGGGGGAGTGCCCGTAGGTGAGTAAAGTTTTTAATTTAAAAAAAGTATTTTATACCCAGTTCAACTGATATTAATGGTTGTCTTTCCCTTTTTCCATGTTTTCACACCTGAATGTTCCACCATGCCAAACCTATGGAAATGACTGAAACTACACACGAATCTAACCCCGAAAACGACCGTCAATATGTGCTTCATAATGGATGCATTTGCCCTATCAATTGTTTGCTGGGTAGGTTGTTATCGAAAACTTGAGTACATTAATGTCATTAAAATTGAGCAAAGCGTTTATACGGTGCATACATGTATGACGGTGACCGGTTCGAAGTACGTTTGTTTGCCGACGAATGGAAGCTATATATATGTTCGGCAATGCTGTGATTTTATAAAAGAGTAATGAAGAGGAAAAAATAAAAGAAAACGACTCATAAAATCACAATGCCCGTAAAAATTGTCGATTGGTAGAGGAGAAATGCCGGTAGGAAAAATATTGGGCCAAGAGTTTTGTTTTTATTTTATTTCGTTTTTTTTTTTTTTTTTTTTTTTTTTTTCAATATTTTGCGGAGTCGAATGATCGATTCGTTCATTGGGCCAGCGCTATAATTCCACCACCAAAAAATATACATATTTTGTTGAAACGTCAAGGCATTTTGGCGGTGTGTTTTTTTATCGCTCGCCTGATTTGCTTGTGGTCGCATTTCGCTGTACAATTTTTACACTTGCGTTGGTTTTTGTTATTCTCTCCATCGGCATGATTATACATATACAAATGAGGAGGTTTATGATCAACGAATCATTTCACTGAAATTTTTCGTTTCACGTTTCAATCCACATTTTTTGGCGTCTGGAGTATGGGTAAAAACATATGCAACGCGCGAATAACAAATAATATGCATGCACACATGATTGAGTGGAATAAATAAAAAAAAGAATACTTCAGCCGAAAATTAATAATGGATGTTGCCATCAATATGGATGCGTTCATGACGATGATGATATAAACCGACAAAAAAAATTCGATCGGTACTACGTGGATGGTGTACGGAAAAGAAATTTTAATTGAAAACGACGGAATGGAAAATTATGACTAATAAAACTCCGAAAATGTTGATCGTAATAACAATAAAAAATGATCAACGAATTTTGTTTCGTACGGTATCAATTTGCAGTTTTACTTCAAACGAAATATAACATTGGTGTATGGATAGCTGTAAGGTTTTTCGCCAGCATTTTCTTCCTTCATATACGGTGCTGCTGTTGCATTCATGCAAAACCGAAAATTTAATGTGATATTATATTGACAGAGAGACGAGAGTAATCACTTTTTTACATTATGTTACGTGAATTTATTTTACGGTAAAGTCAATAAAAATCGGATTTCAGTGTCCGTATCGCTCCCTCTCATTCCTTTACATGTACCGATGATTGCTGAGAAAACCTGACAATGATGGAAATAAATCGAATCGAAGCCAAAACAACAAAACCATCCTATTTTGGTTGCAGCGAATAACGGTTAATCGTTTCTGAGCCAAACATTTTTTGAGCGAAGTTTACGTGATTCGTGCTCTGATTGCAAATCCTTGGAAGTATGCATAATTGATTACCCGTTATGATTTTTTATGTTAAATTTTTGAATCCGGCTAAAGAACTGGCGTCGGTATGCCAGCACAACATTTGCATCTCAAAAATCAGATCAAATTATACGGTAAATTGATGCGAATAGTAGACTCATTAGTGGAAAATACACAAATTTTTCTCTATTACCGACGCAGTCGCGGCACAAAGGTTATGATGATCATTTATTTCGCTTCGTAAATCATTGTTTAACTTTTCAACCGCAATAACGCCGATATTAAAATATATTCCCCAAAATGAACCAGGAATGAAAAATGCTCACTAATTCAATTTAGCGATCATCATCATCATCAGCTATGTATATTAAATCCATTTCGCAAGACGGTTTTTTAATAACTGTAACTAATGCGCATCGGACCTTTTAAATATTCGCACTGTGCGGCAAACGGTTTTGATTCAGCATGAGAAATATTTGTGGCCATTAAACACATTAGAATAAAAGCAAATCGATACCGCTGTGGTGGAAATTCAAGTCGTTCGAACATTTTTTTGAAATAATAATTATAATGGAACAAAAAAAATCGAATGAAACTTTAAGCACCAAACATTTTGACGAAAATAATATTCAAAGCATAGCTAGTGTGTAAAATTGATGATGATAGTAATTATAATTAGCACATCGAAAGCATCTAACGATTTTTCGGTGTCTTAGCTCGATTTGACACTGGCTCAGATAGTCTGAGCCACAGACTACCTAGGTCAATCACAGATTGAACACCCCATCGACAAATAACATCTTTTTTTTTACAGAAGTATCGATTTAAGTGTCGACGTTTTTGTCGAGTGGGTTCGATTTTCTTCAAACAAAAAAAGTGACATATTATCAGTTTTTCCGGGTTAAGTTCATTTACCTATAGATGTGACAAAGCATATTTCTATTCGAGCGTTTTTTTTTCTATCCAAATCTTTTCTTCGCAAATGGACACGATAATTTTTCTTCCGATTTCTTTTCCAAACAAACAAAAAATGGAATCTCGACATGAAAAATGTGAGTTATTGAAAAAAAACTAAATTTGACTATAAAATGCTTCGTGAGAATATTGCTTATGCCAGTTTTTAGTTTGACACAAGTGATGTGCAGGTTGTGTCAAAAATGGCAATAATCCTGATGATGGATTTATTTTAATAGTCACATGGTTTTTATCTATATTGAAATCAAGAAGCTGATGGCTTAAAGTCGAAAGCTTAAAATAAATGAGTGATTAGAGACAATTTGAGAGTTGCGGTGAGAGTTTAGTTGATATGAACCAAATTTTCTATATCACCAATTCTGGTGGTGCTCATTTTTTTTATGGCAGGCATTGAAAGAGAGAAAAGAAAGAGAGAGAGACCGGGAGGAAGTCGTAAAATTAAGCAAAAAATGTTCATTGTATTGCAGCGCACGTCGCGCATGAGATTCGTTTCAATTTTATTCGTTCATTCATTCATTTGGGCTAATAAGTTGATATCATCTGCTGTAGTTTGTGCATTAGTTCTCCTTCGTTTGATTGAAATGAATAAAATTTCCCGCGAACGTATGTGCGAAGAGAAGAGGTTGGCGAAAAATTCTATTTGGTTGTGTTTAAAAAATTGAAACTGGGTCGCTGTTAATTCGGATCAAGCGTCGTCACTTTAAATTTGAAGAAATTGAAAATAAATCAGTATTGGGCCAAATGGCATTCGAATTAATTAAAAATGATCCGGTTGTACGGATTTGTTTCAAAATTGTATACGCGGTGCAATGTCGTTTGAAATTAGATACGATATTTAACGTAATACAAACCGATCATATACCTACGATTCGACATTTACAGTTACTTTGTTGTTTGTTATGTTTTGTACATACATTCGACGAAATTAAAGCAAGTATAAAAAAGTGACATCGACTTAATTTATTTATAAATTTCGAAAATGAGATATCATTCAATTTTCAGTTAATCTGACAGATAGATGGATGGATGACCGAGCAAACGAACAAACATTGAAGCACAAACGAAAAAAAATCCACATACAGTACAATGCGTGTATTCAATTCAAACTGACACACTTAACCAATCGAATGGAATTTGGGTGTACAAAATCAAAACATCTAAAAGAAAAAATAAATGTTCAGCCATCCAATTGCTTTTGCTATAAACAATTTTAATTAACGAACCAAGGAAAAAAAACAAGAACGATCGAAGCAAATTGCAACGGGTTCGATAACAGCGACAATGCGCGCGCTGTTTTGTTTGGCAACGGGTATTTTTGTGTTGACGGCGGGCCCGTAATTTCAATTCGGATGCGTGAGAGATTGCTTCACATGCCTAATTGGAAAAGATATTTATCATTTCGTGCACGCATTTTGATTTCCTTGTGTCGTTTGTTTGTCTGTTTGTTATGCTTTTTTTCGCACGACATCACAAAACTTGTCCGGACCGGCTGTGGCTTTGCAGTAATGAAACAATAATAATATACAAAATAAAAGATCTCGTCTCCCGAGTCGCTTATCTAACGAAAGAGCCCACATGCCATTTAAATAATTTACTAACTCACGCATACATGTAGACATTTTTACCAGTTTTCTCTTTCTGACAAAATCTGACAAACGCGAACGCGCTCTTCTTGAACGATACGCCAAACACCGTTTTGTCAGCCAACGTTTGTTGCGTGTAAATCAAATGGTGATCAAACAAATAGGCAAATAATTATAGAAAAATGGAGACTCGACTTCGACTTTAATTTAAAATTTCATAATTACATCGTCTTCGCCATACGTCGTCAGATTTTTCGGAGTTGATGTCATTTGCATGTTGCTTTTTTTATTGTCGGTTGTTGTTTCATTTTCGCTTTGTTATTTTTAATTCGTTCAGTGGATATTGCTGTATGGTAATACAACAGCAGTAGTTTCCCATCATTCGGTTAATAGAAAATCGGCGACTAACGGTACATTTATGTCTTGAGCTATAGCGAGATAAAAATAAAAAACAACCACAACAACGACATCAGATCAATTTATCATAACTTGCCTGACATTGAATCAACCGACGACGAAAAAAATTTAAATACAAGCTAATTTTTTTGTTTCACCTCTGTTTCTCAGTGTTTCAGGCGATGTGCTGCTTGATCATTGTGCAAAACATGCGAATCAAAACGAATAGAGTCGAGATTTTCTTCAAATCGGTTTTCGATGATAACCAACGATGATGATGAATGTTTGTTGAAACATTTTTACCTCCAGCAGATGTTGCTGAGATGAAACCAAATTACTATTATCGATTTGTATGTTTTAATGGGTACATTTTTTATTCGCATTTTTTTTAATGTGAGTTAAAAATATTTAAAATTAATTGCTGACACACAAACGATCACAGGGTATTTAGATAGAAATTTCCAATATTCGGACGATGTGTATAATGGGTTACGAGAGTTGATGTACGATGAAGAAAAAAAAAGTCAAATAAATTTTCAACAAATTACCGAAAAATTTGATGATCGATTTGCATGTAAAACGCTTTTGACACGCATTTATGTCATAATTATCGAAAATTTGCATATTTTTTTTTTGATTTATCTTTCTGTATATAAGCAGTTAACGAACCAAATCAATCATCGGGCACAATCACACAACTGAAAAGTTAGTTTCATTTTTCCCAAAAATAATTTGTTTATTTGTTCGCCTCGCAAACACAATTTCGATGGAATCATCGGAGAGATTTCTAAAGTCATTAGCCTTTTTATGTAAATTTGAACAGCTAGATTTCCAGCTGTGTTTATTTGATCCAGAAAGGTCACTGGCGATTTAGTGCCAAAGCATTTTGTATTTGGTCGGTTTGGTGATTAATATCGGATTTGTTCAAAATGTTGTTCCAAATTCAATTGCAAATCAATAAATCACATTTTCTAAAAATGGCCATAATCTGATTTCAAACACCATTTCACCTGCCTGCCCGCGCCCGAATGATTGAATCGATGAAAACATGGAAGAAAGTAATTACTGTTTGCATTAATGTTCATTAGTCAATGTGGTAAGTCGTTGGTTCACAGAGAAAATCATTAAAACCAAATATGGCCAAAAAGATTTATCAATTTTTCGTGAGTGCGAAATGTAAGTGGCTTGATCTGCCTACTTAAGTCAATTAAAAACACATAAAACTTTTGTCATTTCTGTTGTCTTCGATGTCGCCTGCTGATTCAATAAAATTACATCGCTTGAATGAGTTCAACGCACAAATCGAATAAATTAACCCAACAAAATCGAAACCTATGGAACAAAATTATATGAAACAGAAACAATATGGATCTTTTTTTCTCATGAGTATAACGGAACTTCAACGATATTTGAAAAACTTGGTTTCTATTGATTGTCATCTGATTTGGTCATTGATGCTGCTGCTGATGATGATGATGAGATACAACAATAGCGATTATTTTCTTATTATTATAAGAAGTTTTTTTTGTGGTGTCGATGTTATTTTTATTGTCATCAATATTGTTTTTTTGTTTGCCATTGTTTGAACCGTTGTAAACTTGTATTTTATTTAATTTGCTGAGTTCTTAAGTAAGTTTTTTTATATTTTATTTTAATAAGATTTTTTTTTGTCTGTGCTGTGAATTAAGTAGTTCCACAGACTTAAAAGCACAGAAAAGCGCCGTTGAAGTGGGTCAATGGCATATATATTATGAGTATTTTATTTTATTGTACGGTATTTTGACTGTTTTTCAGCTTTTGTTTTTTTCTTCTTAAAATTTATTTCTCTTCTGTTTTATTCTTCTTTTGTTGGTATTTCGATAAATTGGTCTTGAGATCGTTTTATCATTTAATTTGTGGCCGTTTCTATCATTATACCGAAATGTGACCAAATCGCAAACCATTCATCGTCCCGATGAATCCAATGCAAAACAGAATGATAAGATGCAAGAAAAGACTGAAAAAATGAGCTACATTAAACCATTGATTTTGTGTGCATATATGCAAATTATGTAAATGGACAAAGTCAATGGAAGAAACTGAACCAATAAATTACGATGTTGTCTTTTTTTCTTACTTTTGTTTCGTTAAACACATTATATTGTCGTTGTGCCGCTTTTCTTATGCAAAACCGGTGAAAAGTTTTTGGTAAATTGTGACGCCAAAAGACCAAACTAATTGATTGTGTGCAGTTTTTTTTAAACACTCTATAAAGAAAAAGCAATAAAGCAGTTGCTTTCTTCGTTAAATCAGTCGGAGAGTGAAAAAACAACAAACGGACCGTGATTTATCACTGTCTGTACACACATTTATTTGATCTACAACATGTTGTTTTCTGTCTGATGAAAATTGACCGTTTTCAAATATTTGCATATCGGTTTTTAAATAGATTTGAAAGTGTTTCACTTGTCATCGTAAATTTCACAATAGTTTTTGAATAATAAAATCAGTGATTGATTGGTGCACATAGTTGACAAACGATTTGTTTCGAATAACATTGAGGTTATGAAATGCCATACAAATTACGCAGCTCTTTTACATTATTTACAAATAAAACCAAACATTTTATATGAAAATCATTTATCGTTTTATTTTATGTGCCTTATGGAGTTTACAGAGGATAATTTCGGTAGAAAATTCCGATGGAATCATTTCTTTTGAGCTTCCAATTGTGCGCGAAGTTGATTGTTAAAATCGTCTTCAACGTTGTCATCGTCCCAATTGTCTTCCCATACATTTACCTCGTCTTCGTTTTCCTTGCCATCGGCCCATTCTGTGTATGATCAACAAAAATTGGAAAAATTTCATTAGTTTTCATCGTATTTTCTATAGCAATTCCAAATTTTCACAATCACAATGAGTTTCACTGATACCACATACTGAATTACAAAAAGCGAAAAAAATAAGTTCGTACCTTCGACTGGAAATTCCTCGAATTCATCGTCTTCCTCCAAGCAACCAAGATTTGGATTCTTATCTTTATCAGCCATTTTTAAGTTTTCTTTTAGATTACGCTTTTAATTCGATTTTTAACAAAAAATTAGTTGTTGAAGCGTTCTGTTGTTCTTCCAATGAATAAGCAATATTGATGTAAATACGATGCCTGTCAAACTGAATTGTGCTTAAGTAAATACGGTGTTGCCAATGCTGCGGTGTTTAAGTATCGTTCGAGTATTGAGTATGTGTTCATATTCGTTGCTATGAAATTTGATTTAAATTCGAACATTTTACACTGTTTTTGAAACTTGTAAAAAAGAAAGAATTCTAAAAAAAAAAACAAAAATTTTGAAAAATCGATAAAAAAAACTTTACAAATTTTATTCAAAAAAATGTCAATCGCATTGAACATTGAACAATTATACCGCTAAACAGTGTTGCCAACAAATTTCGACTTTGAATCGGTTCGATACAATCAAGACCAAATGCATCATACACAAATACATGCACAATTTGTGGATCCGATGAATCTGACGTTTATTTTTATTCATCATTATTACATGAATTGGTTGGATTCTCTTTCTACGAACATCACAAACGAGCATAAACATTTGCATTGGGTGGCTGCTGTCCCTTAGCAAACAAACCCATTTTCAATTATTATTTGATTTTCGGTCAAAATAAATTGGATTCTATTGAGTGTACGTGAAAAGTATTAAATGGCTTAAAAAAATTTGAATTTAACCAATGAACAAAGAAACTGAACAATAGAACAAATTCGAATTGAAAAAAAATATGTTCGATGTCTTTCATAACACACAAAATTTAATGTTGTTGTGAAATATAGTTCGTTTGTATGTGTGTGTGGGTATTTGAGCTGCAAACACATTTGCAAGTGAAAAGAAAGTGCAAAAAAAACGCCAAAATTACCTTTGATTGAGCATAACAAAGAAGAAGAAGAGAAAAACAAAGACCAAAGAAGTAGTGTGTACAGCAAATGTGTTGTACGTAATTCTTTGTACGAACAAAAGAGTGCCGATGTATTAGTTTCAATGACACACATCCACTCATAAGTACAACGTTAGTGTTGCTCGCGTCAATGTGTGCATGCTGTATATTTCCATCGCCACAAATGAAGAGCTAAAATAAATGTGCGTGCATGATCCATGTGAACATAACAATACACACAACAACAATCACTGTTTCGATTTCATTTTCGTCAAACGTAATCCACAACGCTCGATGCATTAATAATCATTACGGAGATAGAGATAGAGAGCAGTAGTAAATACCGACACCAAGAGTGAGGAAGACAAAAACGTGAAGAGAGACACAAAAAATAGTGTTTCATATCATTTGTTTTTGATTCTCAAGCAAGAAAAAAAGTCACCGCAAAAATACCAGCAAAAACACATGATTCATTTGGTGAAATTATAAAGAGATTGATTGTTTAGCGAAAAGAGATGTACAGAAAGTGTGATTCAGTATCAATAGCCTCACATTTAAAAACGAATGCACTGTGAACAAGTTACACGATGAGAATCGCATCGAATCACAGAGTTTAATAGTTTATCTAAACGATGAAAATATCGCTGCAGTGAAAAGAGTTCAAAGCAGACAGACAAGGGGCAAACAAAAGACAGAAGAAAATCAGTGTTTCGATGAATTAATAGGCGTAATAATTGTGTATTTTAGCAACGTAAATTGATGGAGTGAACATTTTCATTTTGAAGGTGAAGTCGCGTGTGTATGCATTCGTCAAATTTCAATGTATTTCTAATTCATCCGACGTAATACAGAAAAACACCAAACCATTTTTTTTTTCGTTCACGCGTTCGTTTTTTTTTTCACATTTAAAATAGTGGTCGCTATTCGGTTGATTTTCTAAATTTCGGAATTTTGAGTTTCATTTTCGATTTCACGAATTGCTTGCGACGCCCGATTGTGTAAATCAATTTTTCATCGTGCTTATTTCACGGTACACACACCGCGACTGGCGAATACAAAATACACACTTTTTCGACGAAATTAATTGAGCGAGTTGTGTAAGTCGGGCGGTGTTTTATTTTTCTTTTGAGCAAAGGAAAACCATTTTTCTGTCACACATTGGCCATAACATTGACAATTGGCACATCAACCGTAACTGTGCTATTATACTTTGACGACGACTTTTTTTGTTTTGTTTAAATAACACATTTTGCCTGCGCTGAAAAATCTGATTCAGAGCGGCGTAGACAAAATAGCAAAGCGCTATTGATGACAGAGAAGATAAATTAAAACAGATCGACGACAGAAAAGTAGTGCCTTTTATTGTATGCGCATAATAGAGTGACAACAATTACGCATCCTACGATTCGTTGTGCTATACAAATAAGCTGATCACTTATTCGCCACTTGCGAACGCCAAAAAAAAAATAAAGTTACTCAGCGAAACAAAGAAATACTTGCAGAATTAAAAAAAACTCTACATACCTTCGATTGAATCGCTTGATTGAACTTCTAATCGATCTATTTTACAATGGCCGACTTTGATGCAATTTACGAAGACGTCCAAGATGAAGAGCCCGTTCCGGCACCAATTCCACCAAAACTCGAACCCATCATTATTCGTGGCACTGGAAACATGACTGTGTATGTGTGATTTTTTCTCTTCATTCTTCGTTTTGCATGTTATTGCATAATAATGACGTTGTTTTTTTTTCCTCACTGAACATTTGGATTTTTCATGGTTGTTTTTATTTCAGTTTTGGGCTAAGTAGTAGCTTTAACACGAATTTCCCCGCCGGTTTGCAATCACGCGTAGCGCCGGAAGAGTTCAAAGCAACTGTTGGCCGAGTGAATAATATTCTAAAAAAATCCTTACCATTAAAGTAAGACCCCCATGCCAATAATTTACGGTTTCTGTTTTTTAAAACACAATTTCAACATATATACTATTTTTTTTTTCTTTTTCTTTGGAACAGCATTAAGTGGCTTTTTTGCGGATGCATATGTTGTTGTTGCACGTTGGGTTGTTCTTTTTGGCCTGTGATATGTTTAAGTAAACGAGTAAGTGTAACAGATTTTTTTTCGATGAATCATCGATGTCCATAAATTGTGTTTTCTTCAATTCATTTTCTTATTTTATTTCTGTATAGACACAACATACGATAAACAAACTATTGGAGTGGGAAAATCAACATTTATACAATAAGCTGGGACTTTGTTGGCGATTGAATAAACAACAATGCGATACAAATTCAATGCTGGAATATGTATTGGTGATTGAATTCTTGCCAAAAATTGCCATTTATCGTCCAGATTAAATTTGCTGCTCTATTCCAAATGCATACAATACTATACAACTGAAACCGATCCAAACAACCATTGTTATCAAACTCTATTTGTTCTGCAAAATGTTGATGAGTGAACAAACAAAATATACAATCGATTACACTGTTAAGTAATCAACCTATGCACATTCTGGGCCACAATTTGGCATTCATTTTTTTTTTTCTAGATTTTAAGTATTTTGTTTATTCATTTTCTTCTTCTTATCTACACGTTTTTTTTCTTCTGTCAACTACGCGACAGAAAATATTTCGAAATATCGGAGCAAAGCGATTCGACGTAGATTGTCAACAACTGTTTTTTTTTTTGTGAGCAACAGTTTTTCGAGTGTTTAGAACATCATCAAAATGATATATTTTGTTGATTTTCTTTTCTTTTGATCATCATCCGAATGAATAGCTCTTTGAATCGATCTCTTAATTGTCATGACTCGAACGCTTTGCTCCTTTTTAACACCAGCTAAAATTCATTTGATAAGTTTAAAAATTATATAAAATTATTTTTTTCGTGTCAGTCGAGACTCGACTCCCAATTTTTGGGAAATTTCAGAGCATATCGGCAGCTAATTTGGTCAGCTCTTACTGAACTAAAATGGTATATTTAGCACGTTCAATTTGCATTGAGCTGCTAAGTTTAGTATGAGCTCTCTTGGAGCTGATGGAATTGGTTTGGTCGTGTATGTTCTGAAAGATTGAAATTGATTTTAAGAAATTTTTCATTCATTTTTATCAATTTAATAATATATGTTTTTGAAATCATTTCTTTTATTTTTGTATTCAACATCTAATTCTATCCATTTTGCAAAACCATTTTCAAACATAAGATATTAAGCATTACAAATTACTATTTTAATATATACATAAATATATATATTTGAAATGAAACCATGTAAATAATAAAGAGAACAACATACTAATGCGATAATTAAGTTTCGATTGTTGACGACCGATTCAAACAATTCGATTTTATTTTTGTAATTGAAAAGTAATATTTATAATGTATTAATGCAAGAGAGATTTGATGGAACGAATAAAACCGCGAATGTAGAAAAAAACAATTCAAAAATATTATGCAGTAATTAAAATGAAAACGTTTTGTATGAATGTAATAAAACAAAGAATGCATTGAAAAATAAACGAGAGAAACCGGAAAGCTTGGATGACCAATGACCTTAATGACGCAAACGAGAATCATCCAATTAAGAGAGAATCACAACTATTTACACAAAACAATTAACAGATTAAGAGATGAGTTGAAGCATGGGAACTTCGAATTGTAAACAAGCAAAACAAAGTAAAAAACAGAACTTCCCATTAATTTTAAGGATAAAATATATATTTTAAGAGCTTGTTCACACCAATTCAGTAAAATTCGTTGTGAAAATCATGTTGACAATTTTCTGTTTCATGTTGCGAATAAATTTTAAAGTCCAAAAAAAATTGTAGCCGCAAATTCTATTTATATATACAAAACATTATTTTGGGAACACAACACATTTTAGAAGTCTGGAATTACCACAATACGTAGCGAAACTATAGATTATGCTTATTTAGAGCCCATTTATGATGACAGGATCAGAACGATTTGAAACGATGAAATTTGTAAATGAAAATATCGAGTCATACTAATCATATTATGCAGTGAACTATGTGATCCCGTAAAATGTATTTGACCCAAAATAACAAGGAAATTGTTTAGTACGAACTGATTTTTGTTTTTTTGCTTGTTTCAAGCACTTAGCCGATGTAGGACAATAATTTTATTCCGCATCTCGACATTTTAACTCTTCAGTGCGTGAAAACAATGCTTTTTGTAACTTAATAATGGACTAAGTTCTCATCATTTCAAGCAAAAATTCGATTATATTTACGCATAAATCGGTTACAGGTATTTTTTATTTGTTCTGACACAAGCGATAGTTTATAACCATTTACCTCGTTAAAACGCCACGTATTTTGCTTCAAAACAAACCAGACACTGTTTCTCAAAGCAATATATGTGAGGTGACGAGCAAAATATCAAATTTTATATTTTGATTTTGAATCATTTTATAACTTTTAATCATTTGCTCACCGGCTACTCAGTACTCTTCTGGCTCCTCCTCACATATACTGCTCTAAGAAATAGTCTCTGAAACAAACATATCCGATATTTGTATTTTATTTGGTGACAAGTCGCGACAAATGAAAAAATGATGGTTCGCGGATTCCCGATTTTGTTTATTTAAGCATCAAGTGAAATGGTTACATAAAACAAAACCTATTTATTTGCTAGATGGCTTGAAAACCGGGCCGAAATTCATTTGTGACTTACTCAATACCTACCGTAATAACAAGGAACAAAAACACAATTCAAGCATATTTACAAAGTTAAAAAAAATCGTTGATGAAAAAAACTGAATTAGAGTACCAAATTAATTGAACAATAAAAAAACCAATTCTCGAAATTTGAAGATAATATTTGAGTTTCATTTGAATTTTAAGTACAAATAGAAATAATGCGTAGCCTAAGAGATCTCGGTGATTCTTCAGGTAAAAAAACAGGATGTACTTGTACTCATACTTTGTGTCGACTATTTATTTGCAATTCGTCACCAGTTGATGCATGTGTGCGCAAGTAATTGCGAATAATAAAATGCCAGATTTTTTTTTCAAAATTGTTCAAGTTATCCACGCTGGAAAACATTTCCTCTCAACAATAGCCAAAAATTGATGTGCAAATATCATTCAAACATGTATTAAATGAACGAGAGAAAAAGAAAAAACTGAGACGTTTAATTCTGTTTAAATTTCACGGTCACTTGAAGCGTGGCTGGCTAATAGCTTTAGATTTCATCTCCTTCTCTTCGTTCCAAATATTTTGCTGGCAGGCAAAATAATTGGCAACGCGCATAAAAGAGCCAAAACCCCCAATCCAAAAAAAAAACAAATCATGATTTGTTTTTATTTGTAATTTTTGCACGCGTTTGCGAAAAAAAATAAAGGCACACAACGGCAAGAAGCCAACCGCACACCATTCATCATTAATGTGAATTGTGGACAATAGAAGCAGTGAGTGTGATATTTTGTGTGCAAAAAAATTAGGGTAATTTCGCAAAATGTGTGTATGTTTTGGTGTGAGATGAGATTGGCACAGTTCAACACCTTTGTAGCATTTATAATGAAGGAATGACATGCACACCGACATCAAACTGAGCGAAACACACAGACAGGAGAAAACATTCGCTTTAATAGTAGATTCTCGTTCACTACGAACAAGACAATAAGACAGTTTTCGTTAATCACCACGTTTATCATGGTTCAATTTCGGACATAATCGTATCTCTCTCAAACCCTATGTCTATCTCCGTTATGCTCTGTGCCGAATTGCAAAAAAAGCAAATGAAACTATTATACGATTTCGTTGGTACATTCACGCAAACGGTGTGTATGTCGAAAAGACAACAAAAACGAAAAGAAATGAATTAGATACTCATGGTATTCATTATATTTGGATAGAAAGGTTTATAACGGGTGTGCAACATGATGTGTATGTGTCCTGCCATCATGTTCAGTTTTCAATTGACTTTTAGAGAGGTTGGTGCTATTTTTCTTTTTTTGATTTTAGTGTCTATTTCCGCCGAAAAAATCAAATAGTTTGAATGAATCAAAATTTTATTTTCAATTGCTTTAATAAAATTCTGAATCAAAGCACTCCAAATTGCAGTACACTCAAAGTACACACTCTTTTCAATAAGTAAGTACATGCTTGTTCAAACTTGAGAAGTCAATTTTCGACGAAAAAAATCTCTTATGATAATTCATGATTTATTGTCAAAGACGTCAACGTACTCATTCTCATTCAGTGAACATTCAAAATACGATTGATTGAAAAAACCACGGTTCTGCACTTTTGAGGATTGTCAACAATATTTAACATCGACTTCGTTTAGAGTGTGCAAAGCTTTTTCTGTCATGGAATATTACAGCGAATCTCAATAAATTTAACGGATTTTTGTTTAAAATATACGAGCATTCACATAACAAATGTCTCAGAGACCTTTTTTTTCTCGCTTAAATTGCTTTGTCTTTTGAGCATCATCGTCTATTTAAAAAAAACTTAAAGCATACAAAATTATTATTTCCAAGAAATCGATGATGATTTGTTTGACTGCACCTCTTAGGTTGATTTGCGTGATGTTTTCATGCAAATATCGACGATACTAATGCGAGGTGGGTATAGGTATATCGTGTCTACCACCGAATGACGGAAGGATTCAGTGAACTGAAGACTGTTCAAATAATATCGCCTTGAGGATGAAAAACTCACTCTTCATAAATGATTCATAAAAAATTATCAACTCAAAACGAAATGATGTTTGTTCGTTTGGCTCTCTTCCATACTTTCCAACTAATAAATATTCGACACACCAAACCAGTCGGTGAAATAAACAAAAGTGGCAATTTTGTGCTGTTTTTTTTCTTCTTTGATTTCGTTTTTGAAATCTCGATTTATGCATGTGTGTGGCAAAAATTACTTAATCATCTGTTTGAGTCAGATACTAAGCTCAAATACCAGACTTTGCATTCTTTTCATTGGCGTCTTCAAGCGATATGAAAGGGGGTTTTCAACTCCATTGACTACCGGATTGCCGTTTATTTCTGAATATATCGTATATTCGCAGGGAGCTGATGGCTTCAAAGCTCAATGTAACATTTTAAACGAACATAAAAAAATCATTCCTTTCGGCAAGTTTGACATCTGAACGAATTAAATACGACATTGTCACAGTATAAGGTTGAATTTGGAATTCAGATTTGCAATGAATAAGAAATTGAAAACCTTGTGTTTGGCATCATTGTCATAGGTATAACGTCATTATCCAAAGAAAAACCAAATAAGATGAAGCGTTTCCAATAGTAATACTGATTCAACGTAGTTAGATGTGAAATACGTATATTTTTTATTAGCTGAGAAAGCATTCATACTCATTCAAAATTCCCAGATGATGATTTTCGCGACGACTCAAATCGAATTTGATGTTTGTTTCCATAACAAAACTCTAATCATCTAAACTAAACCTAAGCGTGACGCTGGTGATCAAACAGGAACATAACAAACCGCGAGCGAAAAAAAAAACACACCAACATCGTTCGCCGTATCCAATGAGTGCGCAGGTATATTTCCTGAGAAATGCGAATGCGATCACAAACAGAATTTTCAGTCGCCAAATATTATAAAGTCAATGTATCAGTTTGAGTGATTGGTGAAATGGCATCGTTTCAATAGTGACTGAATCGCAATGGAAAAACGAAACGTTTGCAACTGATTTCAAAATATCGGATTAGTACCGGATCAACAGCATCGAGCTGAGCGAGAGCAAAAAAATGGCAAAAATTAAGCGCCGCTTCGAAACATATATATGCAAAAATCACAATATCGCATTGACTGTAACGAACATTCGTTCGCCGTACGCTGTTCGGCTAAACTGTTGTTATTGTTGTTGTTTCCTTTTGTCGCAGTCATTTCAGTGTTAACAAATCGCCGCTGCTACACAATCATAGTGTGACGTTTTACGCGTCTTGCTACGTTCGATGTTGTATGTACTGGTGTGGTACGCGTATTCCGTTTATTAATAAGATTGATATATTCTGTAGCCGAGCACAGAGTCAGTTTCAGATTTGAACGGGTGACAAACAGTTCCGCACAACAGTTCGACGGAGTGTAAAACAAAAACGAGCACATTTCCATTCGAATATCGAATGTGTTAATATTAAAACTTTGTGTGAATTAAATTGAAAAGTTAAAATTGTGGTGACGAAAGGAAGTGATGAATCGATCGTGAACACAGTCAAAACAAAAACAATCAAAAGAGACATTAATTACCAATAAAGAAAGAAAAAAATATACACACACAGCGTGTGAGAGAGATTAGAGTGTGTCGGCTTGGACCGGCATCCAAAGTGTGTTTGCTGCTACTGCAGCTGATAACCGAACAATTGATAATAAATCAAAAGAGATAAAAAAAAGAAATAAAATATTATCGAAATCCTATTGGATTTCCGATCTCCATGCATTTCACATCAGTGAAACGGACAGCATAGAAACAATGATTTTTAATCGTGATAGCTGACGAATGCTTTTTTAATTTTGACATCCTGTCAAATAGGTTTAATTTATTTTTTTCAAATTAAAATCTTTTGTTTTTTTTATTATTTGTGCTATTTTGGCTCATAATATCAACAAAGAGAAAAAAATACACAAAATCAAAACCAAATTTTAAATATGGCATTAAAACTGAACTGGACTACAAGCTGTTTTTGAAGAGTTTGTGTGTGCCTGTATGTGTGTGTGTGTAGATATCGATAGAGAGAATTTAAATCAGTGCATAAAATCGTGATTTTTTTTCTACTTTGCGCCGTATTTCCTCTCGACGAAACACAAAACAAATATTGTATACACGTCATATGGAAATTTCACCGTCGTCGCACAACTCTTTTACACTTTACAACAACGTGGATTATCTGTAACGTTTTGAGCTCGCCGGAGATCTGTTGAAGAAATTTGCTTGCACATTCGTCTACGGATTTTTGTTTTCATTGAATACAGTTTGTTTGTGTTTCATCTCTTCATTTATCTCGAAATTCGATGCGATTCATTCGAATGTGATAATTATGAATGATCATAAGTGATTTTTTTTTGTTTTAAAAGTTGATAAGTTTTGCTATTTATTTCATCGTTTTTACTTAAATGAGAAATTGTCTGGTTGTGCAAGTACAAAGCAAATTGTAAACAAACCTTTACCTGTTTGCCAGTAATTAGTTTCGAATATAACTGGCATTTTCTTGTTGCCGCTGCTGCTGTTGCTGCTACTGTTCAATTGTCAACGTTTTGAACGTCACACATTTCTGTGTTTTTTTTCTCTTCTTTCAACGAAGGTATGATCTGTTTTTATTTGTATTGTGTTCGTAGTGTGTTTTTCGCTTTAATTTTCTGTTGTCTAATCTTTGTACACAGCATCGAACATTATTTTTTGTTTTGTTAATATTTGTTTTTTTTTTTCGTTTCATTTTTTTTCTCTCTCTCCGTGCATTTATCATTAGTCATAAAATTTATTTGTAACGTGACATTGTCGCAGACTGTTAACACTTGTGTCCGTCAACATTTATCACATTAAATACAGCGGACCAAAATGCAGGCACCAATAGATGAACAATACATTTACACCAAGTGAGTGTCAAGTTTCAATTTCATTGTTTGGATTTTGTGGTTCATACTTTGTATGCCCGCACAATCATTTACTACTTGACAACATCGTCAGCTCCAAATAGCGGTTTGTATGTACGCGTGTTGTTGTTGTTTATTTTTGTTTTTAACTCTATATAATCGGTGCCAATGAGATAACATGAACATGACCCACAAATTGTCGAATTAAATTTTTTGGTATCCAAGAACTTATGACGCGATTATTTTTACGATAAATAAAGTTAATCTGATCAGAACCGAAATGTTCAATGAAAGGAGATGAAACGTGCGTCGTTGTAGGGAAATGAAAAAGACGGCATTGATTTATAGACGATATAACCAGGCGCATCACTTTTTCAGTTGGGCCTCGGTTTTTTTTTCGCTCAACACATGAAACGAACACTCAAAACTCGTAGGCACTCCCCGTGCATTTCACAGAATAAAAATTGCACATTATGCATTTGCAATAGTCACAGCTTTCATTTTTAGTGCAGTGAACTTTGCTCAACAAAATGTAAAAATATGTGTTTTTTTTTATTTTGAAAATTTGTCACAAAGAAAAGCGTGCAAGGCAATAAAAATCATTGCATTGGCAAATTTTCGTTTCGTTGTGTTTTGCAATACGTTTCTCTTTTTTTTCATTGAGCCTGTTATATTTTCATATCATCATCAAAAATTGGGGACACCTGTCTTATTCGGCATTCTATGTATTTCGCTTTCAGCTAGGCTCACAGTGTGATAAACGATTTGAAAATATATCACATTGTTTATCCACGGATTAGGCGCATGTTTTGTCGTGAAACAGAACATTTCATTTTGGTAGCCGCAACAAATGTAGAAATCAGCAATTCTATTTTGGCGGTTATTTGACTCCACAACAGTCCAACGTCGGATGAATGCACACATTCATGATATGTAATCATGTGTCATGAAAAAATATGACGCGTCAAGTTATCGTGTCAATGAATCTAGTTAAAAAAAATGTTAGTACTTTACAATTTACATTGGCGTCATTTACGGTTCAGTCTGCTTATAAACGTAAAACAATATAGATAAACATTTTTGTATATCCACCAGTACTACTACAGCGTGTGTCCGAAGTGCTCTCCAGTTTAAACCAAGCGTATCGCATCTGTTGATCATATTTGCCAACCTATTGTTGTTTTTCTCTAACTTTGCGAGAGATGAAAAAAAATTCCATGCCAAAATAATTTAAACAATCATTTGCCGATTGAAGTGGGAAAAAATGGTTTTGCATTCGATATCATAGTCACACTTAGAAAAGAATCGTTTTTTTTTGTGATGTAAACACGTTGGCAATCATAACACGTTTAAGCCTTTTTGAAGGCATACCACATACCCTTAGAACGTGTTATTTTCAGAATGTTAATGCCAAAACTTGCATTCAAAAGAATTTTACATCATTTTTTTTCGCCAACTTTTAATACGAAAATGTGCTCAAATAAAACCGGATAGTTTAAAGACCACCTGTATAAATCATCTACTTTTCTATTGTTTCGCTTCCAATTACAATGCAAATTTCTAAAATGAAACAAACTTAGACGCAGTGATGTCATTGACAATTGTGTTACAATCGAAGAAGAAAAATGTTATTTGATCGCGGAACAAAAACTAGTCGTTTTCTATGAATCTGTTGATAAGGCACTCACAACAAAAATATCATATCGATATAATTCGCCGCAACAATAGGAAATTACAAAAATATTTTCGTTCCGTTGTAATTTATAAATTACTTACGTGTGGACGATATCTTAACAGCCGCTATTTGAACACATTTTTGTCATTTATTCTGTCTGATGAGCATTTTTCAGTTTTTGTTCATTTTAATTACAATGCACGTATATCCCAGACTCAGCAGAATGCAAAAATGATTAAAAAAAACCTTTAAACAAAGATACACACACATATAATCAATAACCGATTCGTTTTGTAAACGAATCATGTGCCGTTGATCGATACGTTTGTTCAATGATACGCCGAAATTGAAGGAAAAAAAGCATATGGGACTAAAGTAAATTGAAGGCGATACATTTCAACTAGGAACATAATATTTGCTGTAAATTACACAATATTTCAAAATAAATACAGAATTTGTTTTCCTCAAAGTGATTATCAGTATTATTATAATCAATTATTTGAGATTGATTGCTGCTGGTGATTAAAATGCTATTTTTAATTTCAATAGTATATTTTTTTATTTGAACAGCAGTTATGCCTTCTTCGATAAATACCAGTGTATCGTTGCCAAATAACGTGTAAACGATTTTGGTCGATTTAACCGATCACGAAATGAACTTGTACGTCCTTCTGTCCACAGAATTTTCAATGGTAATAAAGGTGATTTTTTTTTTATCAAAGTCACCAAAATTGAACGAATTTCGACGTATCTAAAATTATAAGTGACACGTTCATCGAGGATATCATTTTTTGTGCACTTAGTCTGTGTGTCACTCAAACTTGATTAGTCATTTAATTTATTTGGTTTCAACACTCAAATGTGCCCGATATCAATAGCCAGATATGGTTAAAACGAAAGATAAAGTTACCGCAAATGGGTTTCTTATCATTCTGGGAGAACTCAATCAAATCACAAAAACGACTCATTTATTTAAAGTTCTTTTTATGAAAATATAACAGAAAGACCACTTAAAACTGCTCATTCTGACAATTTTTTCAGCAAATTTCATTCACAAATCAGGCGAAAAAGTAAATAATCACCCAGAGTTTCAGTTAGTGACGTCAAATACTCCCTGTATTTAAAAAAAACTCTCGAAGCAAAGCTTTAAATTTGCATAATTCATAATTTATGGAAGTTTTCTAAACGAAACAACAACAGAGAAACACATTCGATGAATGAAAATGTGAGAGACATTTAGTCGTACGGACAACGGTCACAGCTGATTCATAGAATTGTGCTCGGAAATCATTGTTTCTCTTTATATCATCACCTTTTTGGAGTTTGTATTCTATTAACAAATGCGCATTGGGTATCGAGTAAAAAAAAATGATTTAAATTATTGGTTTGGAATAAAAACACAACCGTCATTTAATAAAAACCAATGGGTGTGACTCATGAAATCGGTGTGCAAACATTTAAAATTCAATGCGCGAATATTTCTCATTTATTTTTCTTCGAAAATTAATTAACACTTTCGGTGGAAGTGTTTAGCTGTTTTATGCGTTGTCAATGTGACAAGCAGGAAGGAAATTTTGCGGTTTTTTCTTTATTAGAAAAAAAAATTCATAGCAAAAATACATATGTTTTGCTGAGAATTAAACTGGCTCTTACCACTTGCTCTCACCTTCGAAAAGAATATAAGTAAGAGCAAGTGCGGTCAAGTCATTTTCATTCCCAGCTACACGTATCGTGATCGTTTATGGTGCTTTGTCATATATTAGTCATATTAGAATGAAACAAGATTTCTATTTCTTAAGCCCCAAGACAGTGTGAAATAATAAATTTTTTGTTCGATATGTTTAATCATTTTTTTATGAAGAAATGAAAAAAAAAAAAACATTCTAATTGTCATAAAATTCATTTCACGTGGGACGCAGAGATTCGGGTCATTGAAATGCATAAAATTATCATCTAAGCAATAGCGACAATTTTTTTTGAATACAATCCATTTTTGAAAGTCTTTGTCATGTATTTTCGTTGATAATTTTCAAGTTCACTTATTCACAAAATAGTGAATATCAGACTCAAAATTCACTGTTATTTCAGACAATAATGTCGAAATCACTTTAGTCGCATTTACTTACAAGCTTTATGTACGAACAATATTTGCGCGCGCATATTTACAGCTGACAATCTCCCGTTCTCGCCTCGAATTCCGTCGATTTTGTGAGTGTGTGCTGTTAGCTCAGAATCATATGCAAATATTTTGAAAAACATACGAAAACGCTTGCACACTCCATACATTAGAGTATGCGTGTGCGTGTGACGTAAATTGTGGGATTTTTTTCTCACTCGCTTTGTTTGCTTAATCGATTCATTTCTAAATTCTATTAGACGACTGGTACAGTGTTGATTTGCGTATAATTATCGAATTGATTAAATTGAAAGCACCTCAAAAATTGGTTTAACTAATAATCAAAGTGATTATCGACAATTATCTAGCTATAAAGACTTTGTACACACGAGCGCTTACTTGCTCGCTCGATCACTATGCAAATCGATGACAATGAAATATTCATTTTTTTTTTATCGAAAGAGATTAACGTGCTTGGATTTCCGGACACTTCAGCGAAAGAGAAAACTTATTCAAAATTGTTTTTTATCATACTCAACTGAAACGTGTTTGTTTTTTGTCACATTTAGGTAATAAGATCTATTCAACCGACACTTATGCACACGTGCTTCATACAAAAAACCACGAAGATTGATTTTCACGTAACCCGGCACCAAATGCGCAGCAAACTGCCATTTGGTACGTCTTTTCATTACACCTAATTTGTATTTTTTTTACTTAATGACAATTTGAATTCCACCAATATTGCATTGCAAGCAATTCTTATTAAATTCTTCGCTTCGTCAGTATGATTGTAAAATTCTTTTGCTCTTTGAACAGTCTTAAAATGATGTAAAATGTAATGCTGTGAGATGAAATATGTGTAAATTTATATTGATGCTAATAAGTAGCACAATGTATTGAATTACAACAGTTGCTGCTGCAGTACAAAATAAAATGTCACATGGCGTTCAGACGAGACACCAAATACGTAATTCATTTTATAATGATTTCAATATAAATTTTAATTAGCATTTTTATTAATCACATTATATTGGGCTGCTAATTTTTGAAAAATCACATTGACTTTAATGCAACTTTGGTTGAGTTCGATGAACAGAAACCAACAGAAAAAATGTATGACGGAGTCAGGGTAGTATAAATGCATTCGATTTGATTACAATAGCTTATTATCATTTATTACTTTCCGATGATATGAACACATTTGATGAAAATTCTTCTTGACAGTGATATTATCGCAATCACTTCGTGTTATCAATTATTATATTTTTTTTGCGCAATTCCGCGCAATTTTCCCGTCCAATGTGAACTAGCACGCAGTTGAAATCCGATAAATTTCCATACGGTGTTAATTTTCCGTGCATTTTTTTTGTTTGAATCCAAAAATTTGTGTGTCGATGACAAGTTTGAAATTAAATTTTGCAAGAAAAGTTGCATTTAGATTGTGTCGGAGAAAGATATTGTAAAATCATCCGAAAAACGTATGTTAAAATTCATGTCATTGCATAACAAGAGATTGAGATCACTTATTTCCTTTTATACGGATTCTTTTTGCAACTGAATAAATCAAAATGTTCAAAATATATTTAACATTTCTAGTTTTACAATTTTTACCGTAACAGCATCCTTGACACAAAATTATTGTGCAGTATTTAAATCTTTCGATTCGAAGTTTTAATGGAATTCGTGAAATATGTGATTACGTTCTAAATTCCAAAGTGATTTTATTTCATAGTTTTACAATAAAACACAATTTTATTCATGAAATTTCTACAAACAGTTGCGAATCAAATACATTTGTTCAGCTTAGCACTTACTAATAAAATGTTTACATTAATATGGTGTCTATGATATGACTTTTTAATATGTTCGACAGACTTGGCAATTATAATATCGCAAATTGAATTAGAAATAGATGTACAGTGCCAAAAATAAACGAACTTTGTTTATAATAATTTTTTGTGATTATCTTTTCGTGATTCCCAACTGATGATAGTTAATCGTCCAAAAAATGATTGATTTTATCGGCATTTAGACAGAAACTTAACAAAACACAATGTCTCACCGTTTACGCCTGGAATCGGGTCAACTCAGAAAACATGCAGTTATCCTTTGTTCCCAAAACAACCGAATGAATTTAAAGTGAGCAAAGAAGAAAAGGTTACACAACGATATAAGTTATGTGCCGAAAAAAAATACCGCAAATTATTATTATGACAAATTGCATACGGCTAATTATGGTGATTATTGCATAAATTTCACCTAAAGCACCGTACAATTTTCTTTTGCAAGCTATACGGCAAACGAAATTGATTTTTGGCACGAAAGCGTCACTTTTTTTGATGTGTGTGAGAATACTTTGATCCTATTTTTCATTCCAACGTTGTGTTTCGTGCAATTTTATTTCTTTAATTCATTTTGTTTTGCATTTTAACAATCGAATATTGCAAACACTTAAACATTTTACAAATTGGCCTTAATTTGTTTTTACGATTAACATAAGCAAATAACGTGTTTCGTTGTAATCGCATTATCCCGAGTTATAAAAAAAAATTCATTTCGTTCCGTATAGCAGCACTTGAGAGATTGACATTCGTTATGCAACAAAAAAACATCAAAACACATTTGACACGCCATTCTTTTAACGCTCGAATAAAAAATTATCATATTTATTTAGTAGGCATTTCATGAGATAGATGAACGAAACGAATGAAGTGTTCTAATTGACAAATAAATGTGTCCTTTTTCTTTAGGTACGTATGTGATGAAATGACGGTGAAACCGGAAAGTATTGCAACGGATCAATCGTCTCTGGACTTAGCATGGACCAAATTGTTGGACACAGCACCAAGCACTGATCAAGTTGTGATCAAACTGGGCGATGATACGACACGGGTTGCCAACGCCACCGAGACGCAAGGAATGAAAAAATCCGCATCTTGGATTGGATCATTTCACAATCAAATTCGATCATCCATTAAGGCTGTTACCGAGTCTCCCGGCCCAATTACAAGGTAAGCAATTACATACACGATTTTCATCATTTTTAGCACATAAAGAATATGAATGAACATATCAGCGTCCGAATGGATGATGAACAGGTAGAAGGGAAAGTAAAAAAGACAATGTTTTATTTTATGATCTCATATTTTACGTTATAATCGAATATCATCTGATGGACATTCGATATCCGTCGACTCAATCAAAATGTCCTACATTCGATTTTGAGGCGATCCCAAGAATTGGAAATTACGATAAAAAGGTAAAATTGTGCAATATTAAATCGTTGATAATTGAAGATTTGGGCGTTATCACTCATTTAACGTAAATTCCCTAATTAATTATCGAATAAAATGTCTTTATATGTCACGTACGCCGTTAAAATGAAGGCATATTTATTTCATAATCGTTAAATTCATTAACATGTTTTTCGTGTTTAATTACGAAAATTAGAATCGATCGTTCGCAGAATCTTAACAATAATCGAATAAGATTAATTTTACATCTTTTTTTGTCCGTCCACTTGACAGTACAGTAATACATACGATTGCAAGCCAATTGGCACAAACAAAAAGTTATTGAAAGACTAAAAGCAAAACGTGCAATTCTATAGTTTTTTTTCGGCGATTTTCCTGTTACTATACGCATTACTTAATGGCATATGACTCATTTACTCAATTCTATAAATGAAACACGTTGCTATTTCACCATGTGTAAACAAGCAGCACAATAATATTTGCATTGGATGCTTCCTCTCTCTCTTTTTTTTGATTGAATTTATTTTCGCTTTTCGGGTGTTTAGATGATTTACTGCTTTTGATCACTTATTAAAAGTGATAATGTAATTGCTTTCTACAGTCAAAGATATTTGGTGTTAGATACAATAACTTTTCTTTGCACTCACTTGTTTCAATAGAAGCTGAATCATCGCCAAATTATATCGGCAATGCTCATACACATTTTTTATGATTTCATAAATGTGTGATCACATACTCAAAACGTACGCCAGAAACATGTTGAGAAATTCGTGCATATAGACAGATGATG